CCCCAAAACCCCAAAACCCCATAAGTGTACCATAGAATGAAAATTGTTAAAAAATAATTTAGAGAAATAGATTTTTCAGTATATAAATAATTAATATTTTTTTTCTTTAGTGAAAGTATTTAATATTAACATGGTTTAATTGTTAAATGGCATACCTATTACTATTGGAAAGATAATCATTATATATTGGCTGAATTAATAATTCTCTTTCCTTTACGGTATACTAACATTTATTCTACTCTAGTAAGCATTTCACAAAGTTATGTGGTTTTTATTCTAAATGATTAAAGTTGGGGAGTGTGCAGATGAATTGTTTTAAGTGGAATATTCAACTGTGGTATTCCATATTATCACATAAACTTAGATAAAAAATATTGATGATATCAAAACTTAATTAATCTAAAAAACAAAAAATATCCCAGAGATGAGAAGTAAAGTTGTTAAATTTTTGAACTACTACTATTTAAAGTTGTTAAATCTTGAAGATTTTACTAGATTGCTAAATAGTGCTATCTCTGAAATTACAGACGATTTTTAAAATGAGCAAGATTTATGCAACTTTATAGCTACCAAGGTTAATAAGACATTCTCAAAGGATAATCTTTAATACAGAGTTCTTGTAAAGAAAGACTTCAATAGGAACTAGTCAGCTGTATTATTTGTATTTCATCATGGAATATGTGATGGTGTTGGATTTCTCAACTTTCTAAGTGCTATCTAAGATTAATTTGACGTTAAAAATTTGCCTTTTGTCAGGGAAAGAACACTAATGGAATAAATCTAAAGATACATGAAAATTCTAACAGCAATATTCTATTTAAATTAAGGTCAGGTCTAGAAAATTGAAAGGTCCTAATTATTCTAAAATACCAATAATAATCAAACTGAGTTTGTAATATCCAATGACTTTAAGTTAGATGAACTGAAAGTATTATCAAGAAATTATAACTGCTCTATAAATGATATTCTAATTGCGGCTACCATCCTCGCTAATCAAAGACTCTCAAATATTTATGGATTCGGTGACTTCAAAATATATGACGCGCTAATTGCTATAAATCAAAGATCTCCTTTGACTTAGTTATAAGACTTGATCTTAAGAAATCAAACTATGTCATATTACTTGAAAGTATAGTTAGATTAAGAAGATCTGTTTAAGGAAAAGAATGCCACTTAAGTTATTCCTAAAATTCTTAAAACTTTTTAATCCGAGCTATAAAAAGTAAAACAGGATGATAGAGAGTAGGCAATTTAATGTTTTCATAAGTTGATCTTTTAGTTAGTACCAGACTCAATTATCCCAGCTGCAATCCAAGATTTTAAAACCTCTCTTAAAAGAATTTGGTCTAATTTAAATGGATCTAGAAAACCTATCTAGATAGGGGGCTCGTACTCTGAAAAAATGTTCTTCTCCTAATATCTTAGGGATGAAGATTTCCAATCAACAAATGTCCTCTCTCACAATGGATGGATTAGATTAGCAATTTTTGGAAGGAATTAAAACTTCAAATTTAAATAATA